CCTTCTGTTCTGCTCTTGCGATTATTTCTGCTATACTATCATCAACTTCCTCGAGTGGTTCTACCTCTCACCGAAGGGTAGTGTGCATGGCATCATAGAATTGTCGCTGAAGGATGTAGCAGGAGATACTTCCTTTCTTCATTCAGTTCTTATACATCATCAGATCTGTAGCTATGTCTGTGATTCTTTTGACATACGTTCTATTGACTTGGTGGAGCTGGTTGAATTTATTGTATAGGAGGTCATTTGTAATAGAGGATTGGAATTAGCCTTTCATGTAATCGAGAATAGTAGATCCTCTTAATCTTACATTTCTGCCGTACTCCTTATAGCATTGGTAGTATGCGTTAGTTGCCTTTCCTTTGCAGAATGACCCAATGTATAGTCCAGTTGTAGGATCTTCCACATCTTTTCCTTGTAGGAGAAGGTAGTGTGTAAGTTTAGTTGCCCATTGATTAAATGCTTCGGGTTTGAGGTCTTTTCTTTCTCCTGTAAACTTCGCTAGAAGGTGGAGTTTGAATTTAGGAGGTTCCCATACTCCAGGTACTTCCTCTTCTTCAGGCCAGGCCTAAGATTTTCCTGCTCCTGAAGGCACTCCTACAGTACTAGCCATATCCGATTTGCTACTAGATTTGGGATCGATTGGAGTTTTAAAGGAAGGCTTCTTCGCTGGAGTAGAAGTGAATTCCCCTGGGGGTTATGTGTCTTCCATCTTTGCAGGTTCTCCAGGCTCCTTAGCAGAGCGCAGAGATTGTTTCTTTGCTGTAAGGTCTTGCCGTGGGATTTGCTTCCCACTCCTGGTTGTTAATGACTCTATGTTGGGTTTAAGATAAAGCTGAATGTGCTGTGATTCTGCTGCTTCTCTCCGCTAGTGTTCTGAGGTAGATATCGATAGGTTAATTAGGCCTAAATCTGGAAACAGGTTTTTAACTACTTGCTGGGGTTAAAAAAATGTAATGTGTTTACAAGGTGCTAATCATATTATCGGTAAGTGGTACAATAGTTGGCAGGTGGCCTGCTCTTCCAGAGAGGAGGTGAGAGCTGAAAACTAAAGAAGGCTTTGAGGGTGTACTGAGGAACAAAGAAGTAACCATTCAACTAAGTGTATTGAAATACTGTCTGTCAAAGTCTGCCTTTTCTATCGTAGAATCAGGCGGTCTTTAAATACACAAATCTTGTTCATATCTAGCATGAATGAAACTAATCCAAGGTATCAAGTGATACTCTTTGGTAAAACATACCAAGTATCAAAACGATACTTAAAATAATACATAAAACACAACTAAGTATCCAAGGATACTTAAAACAAACCAAGTATCAAAGTGATACTTAAAACAAAACATAAAACAAAACTAAGTATCAAACGATACTTAAAATAAACCAAGTATCAAAGTGATACTTAAAACAAACAAAGTATCAAAGCGATACTTAAAACAAAATATAAAACAAAACCAATAACCGAGTACCCATACCGGTTACACCTTCGGTGCCCACTCGTGTATTCCCAGATAATACTCATAGTTCTCTGGTATTTCTGCCTCCTTTTCGTAGTGAAGTTCTAATAACAAGGACTAGGGAATCTCCAGAATCATCTGTAGTATTCTTAACTACAAGCAATCACATGTCCTATATACTTTCAGTTGTCAGGTTCCTAGCACTTTGAATAGTAGCTTACCTTATAGGTAATGCATTCATTAGTGTTAGCATATACAGATGACTCAATCAATGCACTGGGCCTGGAGGAGGTATATGACATTAACTGCATTAGCAGAGCAGTTTGAATTCAATATCTTTTATGCAAAAAACCCCCAGCAACCAAGCACAACCTATACTGCAATAGTGCATGCAAGTCTGAAAAGGTAGAGATTTCTTTTTCCCCAGATGGGAGTGCTATAATATCTTCCTCTACCTCCAGTACCGTGATGAACTAAAGTTGTAGTCAGTACCTTTCTCCTATTGTAGATTTGTATGTAAAGACTAACACCCTGGACTAATTTATTTGTATATTCCTTCTCTTGCTTAGTGAGATACTCTGGCTTCTCTAATTAAATTTTAAATACTAACAACTGAAGCCTCTTATAGTATGTAAGGATGGTGGACCTGGAAAGGGGGTGCTCCTTCTTCTCCATTACTTCTCTTGCCTCCCAGGAAAGAAATGTACCAATGTCTTTTGGATTGAATTCCTCTATGCCCAGTTCTGAATCGACATCCTTTTCTCGCATATCCATACGATAACTACTATCAATTTATTAGAATTTGAATATATAGGGAATATAGTAAGGTAGCCTACTAGGTCTAACTTTTTTTAACGTAAGCATTCGCTATTGCTGTGGGCCTGGCCTGTACTATTTTTGGTTTGTCGACCCAATCCAGACCGAGCAACTTGTTGTAGATATCTGAAGGCATTTCTAGTATAGTGGGAACTTAGGAGGGGGAGCTGATAAGAAGGGGACTACTAGCTTATATATTTGTCATTCGACTTATGGACTTGGGATTGGCGCCACTTAAAACTATGTTAATATCTGGGTTACATCTACAGGACCCTCTATCACTGACCTAGGTCTTGAGCAAAAATCACCTCAGGCTGGTAGACTCCCCCTCCTCCACCACCCTGTTCAACCGCAGAAGTTTATTTAGACACTAGGCTAGCTCAGTGGAGACGAACTTCATGTATCCTACCTAATGACGTAACATTAATTGTGGAATTCACAGGAATGTAGCTGGCTTGCCGAAAGATACTATTGCGACTTAAAAAAGATTCCCTACTAGTTTTTGTTGTGGTCTCGGCCTGGGGGATCTAAGTTCTTCTATTCACTACTGGCCTGTCTCAAGAGGATCTGTTTCCCACTGTCAGCTTGCGATGGGTGGGTTGAGACCACTCTATAGCTCCTTCTATCAGACAAAATGCTCTAATCAGAATCTGTCTCAATGGCCCAGTAGTGTCTATTCTGCAACAACATTTGTGGAATTTTGCGAGAGTATCTAGCTTGATATAGAAAATACCTATGCTTAGTGTATGGGTTTTCTGGAGATGTATCACTTGGTGAAGAATATTCTTTATAATATTATGGCAGCTTTGTATAAAAATACAATATGACTTTACTTTAGTTTTGTGGAGGTATTATATCTATCTTAACAAAAGAAATACCTAGGCTTGGTGTAAAAAAAACAATAGGTTTATAATATTATGTAAAAATACAATATAGCTTGTCTTGAGTTTTGGTATCTAGTGTGACAATAATATGCCCAGGCTTGGTGTATTCAAGTTTTATGAGTTTTATGGAAGTACCTAACTTGGTGAAATATTCTTTAATAAATAATATTATAGCAGCTTTGTGTAAAAATATAAAAATACAATACAGCTCGGCTTGGTTTTTGATATCTACTGTCTTGACCATTGTCTCAGCAAAACTGGGGTGGTGGCGAACAGGGGTATTTGGTGGTTAAAAAAGAACCCGTCAAGGTTAGGGTTGCAGAAAATTATTGGTCATTGGTCCCTGTTTGCCAACACCCCAGTTTTGCCGCGACTAAGGTAAAGACTGTAGCATAACAATAAGATGCCCAGGCTTGGTGTAAAAAAACAATAGGTTTATAATATTATATAAAAATACAAGTACAATATGGCTTGTCTTGAGTTTTGGTATCTAGCTTAATAAGAATATGCCCAGGCTTGGTGGATTCAAGTTTTATGGGTTTTGCAGAGGTGCCTAACTTGGTGAAAAATATGCTTTCTTTTTTTTTTAGATTATGTTAGCTTTGTGAAAAAGATTTACCTAGTATTAGAGTTAGTGTCTTGTTGGCTTGGTGTGTGAAAAGCTGCCCTTTGTGGGGTTTGCAAGGTTCTTCTACTTGGTGAAAATATGTCTCCCCAGGGGATATGGAATGTCTGGTCACTGAGCCAAACCTGGCTCTAAGAGTCTGTTTACGGCTTCAAGATCCTGCTTTGGGGCTGTCCCGAGCATCATCTAAGATCATAACGAGTGATCTCGGATGACTCACAACTGACAGGATTGCCACACAATCATACGGCAGCCCACGGTATCACAGCAAATGAATTACAAATTTGACTCAAACCGCAACCAACCCCCCAAAGTGCGTATCATACATAATATGGCACTATGCTCGAGTAGAGTTAGAAAACGGTAGAACGGAGAAATCAAACGTCCTCGTTAGGCAACGATCGATCGATCGACGGGCAGAAACATCACTTGACCGACTCACACACCATAGGCCCTGAGCAAGCGTTCACAAATGACGAAATACTCAAGTACCGGTGCTCTACGAGTACCGTACTTGTACGAGTACAGCACTCGTAGGCTATCATGTAGGGATCCTAACTAACCCTAGTACTCGTAGCTACCGTACCACGATGGCCCAGTATCCTATTTATTTATTGATTTTCAAAGAAAAAGAACTGGTTTTGGGAGGTTTGTGGGGTGGCATCGGTACTGCACAAGTGAGAGAGAAAGGAAGGAGGGGAGGAGGGGAAAAGGGAGAAAAACGTGGCCTATGATATATATTATTGTGTCATAACGCTGCAGGTACAGCGTTGTGCTGTACTATTTCTGTTCATGATAGTACAGTACCCGAGTACTCGAGTAGGTTAGTTGGGAGAGAGGAAGGAGGTTCGGATTTCTCGGTGCTATTATTGTGCTCTTCTGTCAATAAAGTGCGGCACAGTGCTGTACAGAGAATGGCATATCGGGTAACCGAATTGGATTTTGAGGTAGGCATACTATCACCAGCAGCAAATGAAGTGAAAAAGGGAAAGAGGGGGAAAAAAAGGAAAACCAGATGCCACAAACTGCTTTCGCATTTTTTTTTGTGGGAAGTATGGAACGGAAAATGGTAGCAGTTGTGATTCCCTATACCGAGAGCTTCGAACCTTCCTGCTGTAAGAGGCACATCATACTGGAGGTATCATACTCCCTACGGTACATTGATAGCATTAATAACACACTGTCCCGTATTGCACTGTGCTGTATGATATGCAAACACAACAAAAACACAACACGGGGGGAAAGTAAGGGAAAAGAATGAGAATGATGGGAGTCTTCTCTTTTTTTCCCTTTCCCCTTTCCAAACCGCGACAATAATAAGACAGACTATGATAGACTAGCTCAGCTTAACTTAACCTAACCCGAGAAATGCCGTGGGACTATATCGGCTATTGATCCAAGTGATGATTGGAAATTGCTAGGGGAGGGAAGATATAGTTCGAAGTGTGTATGAAGTGGGGTGAAGTGAGGAAAACAAAAAAAGAAGAAATAAAGGAAAAAAAAAACAAAGGATTTCAAGAGCACCACCAGTAAACCAACAAACAGCAAGAGCAAGTAAATAGGAATAGTAGCAGACAGATGGACACACAGACAGACAAGATAAGACGAAAAAACAACAACCGTATTTCCCATTTCCCAATGATAATAATCTCCCATACCAATTGCGTCCCCTAGCTTCCTTCCCCCACCTATTCATAAGGCTGAAAGAAAAAGGAAAGACGAAGAAGAAGGTGAAGAAGGTGAAAAGCCCCACGAGTTCTAAAGAAAAGAGTGCTTAATGGGAAGGAATGGGCACCGCAGGTGCAGCACTCCCTCCAACGGTCTTCTCAGAAGCTACCGCCGAAGCTTCCTCAGCGTCACCGACGTCCTCCCCTTCAGTAGGGGGCTGCGAACCCATCGGGCTCTTAGCATGCAGGAGGGGACTTTCTTTAACGGGAGATCCCGAGTTCCCGCTAGCGCCCGTGGGCGTGCCCGCGGCGGTGTGGTGAGGGATGTTCTCGGGAAGTGGGTGCTGAGAGCCAATGTTTGTCACGCCGACATCCGAGGCTTTACCGGCCTTTGAGAGGGCGTAGTCGCCCGAGTCGAAGTACTTGCGTTCCTTTTTTGTTTCCCCATCTCGCCGTTAGATTGGCGGAGTGAAGTGGGACGGCGGGGGGGGGGGGAAGGAATACTTTAAGTTTATTCTTGAGAATATCTTTCTTGGACGGAAGTTTCCCGTATAGTCTAAAGAGCCTCTGCTCCTCTTCATTCAAGGACTGCGAATCGTGAAAAATGCGGGACTTTAGGAAGGTGTGGTCATTCGTTCGCCGGGAGGGTCTCGAGCGATAACCCATTGGCGAAGAACAACCTCCCCTCCAGGTTTCCCTCTCTTATCGTCAGTTTTTGGTCATGCTTCTGACAAGGTAACGTGGTATAGCTCAAAGCGGGGAGAGAAGGTAGCGGGTTGGGATTATCTCCCCCTTCCTCCCTCCCCTTCCACGAGATAATCCAATGCGGGGAGGTGGGGTAGTTCGAAAGAGAAAAACCACTCACGCTGATGTCCACCTTCTGCTTCTGATGAGGATTCATTGTCATTTTGATTTGTGAGGTAGGAGAGTTCAAAGGTAGAGAGAGCTGGTTGTAGTTGGGTGGGTGGTTATGAAGAGAGAGGCTTTCGCTAGGTTTGATCGCTAGTCGATTGCTTGTCGCCCTTGTGAAAGGGTTGGTGTGGTGAGTGGGACGTGGGGTGTGGGATGAAGGGGAAGGATTTGGGAATTTGGGAGCGTTTTTAGGGAAGCCGAAGGCCCGGTGGAGCGTTGTTGTTGTTGGTGAAAAGGCAACGTCGGTCAGCGGCGGCGGAAAAAAATGGTATGAAGGTTCAGGAGTATGATACTAGCATAGTACAATAGAAAGGATGGAATGGAAAGGATGGATGGAAAGATGGATGGAATTTTTATTTGGTGATTTTAGAGACTTTTTTTTTTGCCCTTCTGTGGAGGGGTAATTACTGTAATGGATCCAAGAAATGTAGACACCTTCCTTGTCCTGTCACCTGCAACTGGCTCGAGATGAAGTGAATATCTAGGATGATGCGGCCAAAGCACAGCACCACTCCACCACCCAATATATATATATATATATATATCCACAGTCCTGTTGACAATCTACCAGTACCGGTATTCTTTGCCATGATATACTTGTAAGTAAGTACGGCGTTCTAAACGGAAGTATTCGAAAGATGAACGAGCTATCCGAATTGAGAAACCCATCAGCGGTCTGGCCCTTATTACAGATGGTGAATACCACCATCGAACGGGTCCCTCATGAGGGGTGCGCATGGTCAATCTTTTCCTTCCTAGCCAACTGCGATCAACCGTCTCCCTAATCTGTAATGTTGTTTCCGTGCATTGGGCCAAATTGACAAAGTAAAGAATGTCACGGACAGCCCACTAAGGTTATGTAAAAGAACGGGGAAGAGACGGGGGCAATTTGGTATTTCCAGAAAATCGGCGATACAATACGTACGATAGCTCGATACTAATCATTCGAACATGCTGACCCTCCCCGAAGCTGCGTGAAAGTATCGGCAAGTTACCTAGGTGTATTAGAGTACGAGTAGCATGGCTACGATCAATGGCGCCAGAGTCGAATGTTTCCGCATACTGGTACCACCGGAATGGTCCTAAAATCAGGTAATCTTTTCGATACGGGTACTCGAGTACCAGTAGAGTGCTGGTGAATTTCGGCAGAACAAATTATGCGAGCCGGATGGTAGTCCAAGGTCATGATGGCTATGAAGAGTCAGGGGGTACAGACTTTTGAAAGTGGGGAAGAAAAACGGTCATCGTCAAGCTCTCTCGCTCGGGAGCAGATGTTTTCAGAAATCAACCCGTTTGAAACAGCAAGCCCCCGGGGCCCAAAATTTCGCCGAGGCAACGAAGTAACCATCCCATATTTCCCTCCACCCGCATTTTGGTCTCTATGGCCTCGGCCCGGCCAAGTTGTTCCCGGAGTCCTCTGATCTGCCTGTGTATGCTTCTGACGTCCGGCTCCGTTTCCATTGATGAATTTTGAGCTCCCCCCTCCCTGGGCCTCGTCCTCAAGGTCCTGGCCCTATGCCATATTGTGGTGTCATTTCCTTCCAACTCTTTTTTCGTGCCATCCTTTGCAGGTAGTATCACACAATGATCTTCTTCATCCTGTACATCTTGTACGTGTTGTTGAAGCACTGTTTCCAGTGCTTTGAGGCATGGTCCAGGCGCAGACCATGTTTGAAGTATTCTCTCGGGAACCATCCCAAGTCTTCCTTGTCTCCAAAATGTGTGGGACACCCATTATTGTAACACACCATCCAACTCACGATGTTGTACTTTGCTTTCTCCGCTGGTTCTTTGATTTCGTTGTCGGTTGGCTCCATGAATGAGTACTCAGGACTCATGGTTATGATGTGTCAGGGGCTAGCGCCCCAGCCCTTGTGTGGTTTCAAGGGCACAGGAGTGTTTCCCTCACCTTTGTCTTAGTTGAACATGATTATCACCTTGGCTGGGCATGTGGGGGTATCGTTGGTGGAAGGTTGAGAGGGCATCTTGTGCATTTTCGAAGTTGTGTACGAAGTACCAAGCTTTGTCATATTCCAGTGAATATCCAGTCCACTTAGCTCAGTATTGCAGGTGGCCGTGAAAGAAGTGGGAATCGACTATCTTGTCAAGTTCATATTCTGGTTTTCCATTGAGTACAATTGGAGGGGAGGAATAATCGTTTATGAGAAAAACTTGTTCTTGTTGTATAGTTTGAGGAGTAAGATGTGGAATGTGTTGTGTATTCTCATTGAGGGAGGAAGATCAAGCTTATAAACTTGGTTACCCACTCATTTCAGTATCCAGAATAGCCGGATTTTCTTTTAGTCAAATTTCTTTAATGGCTGTATTCTATGGATATTTGTTAGGAATACCAGAACCCGATACCTAGGAATGACCCTAAGTAGAGCAACCCCACTTGGAATTGGAATTTCTGGTCTCCAACACCCGCATCCAGCTCCCTTACGGGGCCCATGCGTCATGATATATATTAATCTCAGTTGCGTCCTGTGACTATATTACCACAGAATTGAAGGTGTTAGAATAACACCATATACGTCGCCGCCGTCAGTCCGACAAGATCCCGTTCACAGGTTATATGAATTGGGACCATCGGCTAGGTCTGGGAAGTGGAACGGAGGGTTTCTGTCAACTACTCAGAGAGTTACTTGGCTCCAAACACATGATACCTTTGGCACGGGCCGTAGGTAACGGGACGATTTCGTACAAAGAGATGGTATCAAATGGTAAAGGATCTCTACTGGAGACCAATACATTTACATCTACCAGAAGAGTCTAGAACTCCAAAAGACACTACCAAAGAAGCCAACGAGCTTCACAGAGTATTGCAACTGGGTTTCGGAATACGTTGTAGTCATGGGGTGATTCTCAATACTATAATGGCTATTGAAACCTACTACCCAGAGAGCAACCAAGGGTTGCCGATGCAGCGATTAATTACCAATCTGGTGGAATAGCTTCCTGTGAGTTAATAGGAAGTCATCCAAAGAAAATCTATCTGTTGAGTATGGAGTTACAAAGGATCGGAGTCAGACAACCTATGATAGTTGTGATGACGACCACCTTTGCAGATATAGCAGTGGATAAAACTGATCATTTTATCAATGGCGAAGACAATTGGAGCCAAATCAGTTCGATTTAAGAACTAGGCCATAAGTCTAAAGACTCTGCTAATTGGTATATTACTATTGGGGACAGTACATTTCCTAAGAAGAAATATCTTAATTACCGAAGAGGGTGTGATGGTTTTCAGGGTCCACAAGTGTTCGCACCTTGGAAGAAAACTCGATGTTGCGAATTACTATTAAAGAAGTACATAGTTGTATGATAGATAGATGTAGTCCGCGAACACTCAGACGCGGAATATAAATATCGAAGTGCCTCCTAAGCTTTCGACATCATCAAGCAATGGAGAAGAGACCTTAACAATATAATATTGTTTTTATGATTCTACCCTACTTTACCTATTCTACTTCACTCCTAGTAGTCATAAATGAAATGAGCAAAGTCTGTGCCTTCCTAGACAATCTCTGTCTACAGAAGCGAATCTCGATTAGCCTAGACAACTTTGAAGTCTATCAAGTTTTTTCCGCCTAACAATTTCGCACATGTCTCACGTAGGAGTTATGGGACATGCACTTGGCAAGTGTGCCTTGCAAGCATGCCTTGAAGGTATGCCTTGTGTATATGATTTATGTTTAGTGCATGACCTCATTATGAGGTCATAGGTTTTGTGCATATGACTACTTGGATTCATATGATTTGTTTATTGCGTTATGATTGGTTTATGAGTTTTCACACATGACCTTGTTATGAGGTCATGGGTTTTAAACATATGACCACTTTGGTTACATGGTTGGTTTGTTATAATTTGGTTTAGCACATGTGACCATTTTGGGTCACATAACTTGGGGCAGGAAGAATACTATATGAGGAGGCTGGTATGGTCGAACAGGATAAGTTCTTCATGCTTTGTTCTAAGTACTTTTCCTCGTCCTTGCTGTCGCTTCGCCCCACATGATTCTTTTGCACCCATGGTGGGCCTTGATACCTTGGATTCTGGGGGAGATATCTGAGTTCGCTCAGTAGTTCCTGGGGCTCTTGGTGTTGAGATCTGTTAGGGGTTGCGTGGCGGATTACTTGTTTGCTTCTCGTTTTGTCGCTTGCTGGTTATCTCATGATATGGGCACTTCGAGCACTTCATCACGGTCACATACGAGCCCCTTTCGGTAAAATGTCTATGGCTTCCTGTCTATCATCTACTCGCAGGTTTCGCGTTTGATTGGGGGGATTGAAATTTGTGTTTGGGGAGATTACCTGTGTGGTTCCTTGGGCCAGCTCATGTTTCTTGTTGGGTTTTAATGGAGTCCTTAGTTCTTGCGATACAAAACGCCCTTGGGTTAGACTGATGACCTTCCCAAGTTCAACTCATCATACTGACTGCATAATTCCTCAGGTAGTAGGAGGGGTTGGTACCCACCCGGCCCCTCCTTGTTACAATATGTGTCTACTGTTGGAATCCTACGATGTCGTTTATCACTGTTCCCTTGAAGGTTTGTCCTTGCAGCATTTACCGTGGTTCAGTCAGGCATCTCCTCCTCGCCTCGGTAGAGATGGCTTTGACCCTGAAAACTCTTACCCCCTAGTGTAGTTATTGTTGCTGCCTGGGGTGGTATGGGACGATTGGCTACCTGACACTCGTGTTGTCTTTGTGTTTAAGTAGTTCAGTTGCCGAATGAGGTTGGCGGCTTTACCCATTGCAAGTGGAGTCTACCATCTATTTGTCTGCTCATCTTCGTGCACCCTTCCCCATCACGTCGCGTCAGTTGGGGGTGCCTCTTGCCCGTTGTTCAGTCTGTACCTGTCGCCGAACCTGTGGGGCTGGCTTTGGCTGGCTCTGCTTACTCTTTCCTGGCTCGATTGGACTTCAGTTGGGCTGGGTTGGATGGTATGGCTGGTGCCGGTGCCTTTAAGTGTTGGTGCTGACTCCTTCATGGCTTCTGGCTCTGGCTAGTGGGTCCCCCTTGGCTATACGATGTTGGAGGTTAGGGCTCTGATAGTATGGCCATGACCAGTAGCTGCCGGTGGGGCTCGGTATAGGCTGTCTTGTGGCTATTGGATGGTTGATCTGTCTGCGGGGCTGGGGGGCTGGATGAGCTCTGTGGCGTCTGGTGTGTGGGGCTTGAGGGGGGCTGATTGGAGGGGGAGAGGTACCTGCGAGCACTAGTCGGGCAAGCATCAGGTTGGGCGAGGCCTAATTAAGTGTTTCCAGTCCAGCTTGAGTTGTTGGGTGAAGCTGCTGAGTGC